GCTAAGAGCTACATATGTTGTCTTCGAGATATGATGGGCACAGCCTCTTTTTCTCTAAGAATTCAACAATCCTCCTTAAAGCTGAGGCTTCCTTACTTCTCAGCAATCTTTCAGGACATGCCTGTTTTCTAACTTGAAAATGCATGTGTATACCATTTTTGTTTAACAGTTGTGCTCCTGAAGAAAGGTGTGTTAGTATACTGGATCCTAGATGTCTACTGACTTCCAAGATCACTCCAGAGTTTTGTTTTTGTTTGGGGGCTTTTTTTCTTCATGGATTTTTAACTGGCTTTGGATGTTTTAGACTTACATTGCCCCTCTTCCTAACCAAATAGCTAATCATCTGTAAATAACACCCTTAAATGCAGTAAGGGAGATGGTTTTTAAAGGAACCCTGCTGAATTAGTCTGTAATGAAAATACTTCCTACTGAAGTTATCTGCTTTTTAAGATGCATTTTTGCATATTTTTTCCTAACTGAATCATCCTAATAATATGACCCAGGACATACAAAAGCATTAAGAGAAACATGTTCACTCATGACTTCAGGTGACTACAACCTAATCCTATAAATTCTCCTATCTGACCCCAACTAGCCCATTTTTTTTCTTTCCTCAGCCCCAAGCTTTATGCTGATTTAAAACCTAGTTCAACTTGAGTCACAGGGCATCATGCATCCTCTTCCATGTTCTAATAACCCACTCTCCTCCAGAATGTAAAATGGGCCTACTTTATATCAAACTTTAAATGAAGTCAGAGCAAAACTCCAGGGAATCAGGCAAGACCACCTATTATAGTATCAAATGCAAAACATTTATTATTGATGTTTTTGAACAGGCTTTGAGCAACAAGCAATACAAATGCTTAGTGGAGAGCGTTAGTGAAGCTGGGGCAGGGCTGGTGGTATCTTCCTGCCAAGGCCGTTCTGAGGGCCAGGGGTCTGTGGGCTCCTCTTGTGCACAGTAAGGGCGCTAGCTGCATAATTGCCAGGGCCGTTTGCATGCAGGGAATGTTTAACATCAAACTCGGCCCCAGGCAGAAATAGGACGGTAAAGAACATATCACATTTCTTCCAAATGAAAACACGACTTCCATTTTTCTTCGCTGAAATATCAAGAGGTAAATCACCAGTTGCATGGACGGGAAAGCTCACTTCTGATTTAGATTAGCAAAGCGTGCTGCCCCTGATCCTTATTTACATATGAAGTAGCTGTTTCCAGAAGCAGGTAAATATTATCATCCTTATTTTGTTTTCTTCACAATTTTATGAATAGATTTTACAAAATCTACTAGATTTTACAAAAGTAGCAGGTGCTCATTGCAATCAGTCAAGCACGCGCACACACACACACACACACACACACACACACACGATTGGAATAATGTATAATGTCCCCACTTTATCCAGTAACACACACCCTGAAAGTCACCTGTGTGGACTCCCAGTAAGCACCTTCTCACGTTTTCTCTATTGTAATTCAAAGGACACACACACATGTACAATGGGTGGGGGCATTAGTCATTTGACCTTATACAGAGGAGAGTACACACATACGTGTGTACATGCTCATTACACATATTAATCTTATGTGGTTTCACCTAAAATATTGTGACCATCTCCCTTTAAGCCTTTGTGATATTTTCATGCCAACAGTTTATTCAACATTCTTCATCCGTGGTCATTCAAGTTACTTCTTTTATATTCACTCCTTAAAGCCTGTAGTAAAAATGTTTGTGTACACCCTTACACACCAGCGCTTCAGATTCT